CCCTGTAGCCACCCCTCCCAGTGCCATTGCCGCCCACCCTGCCCGGAAGAGCCCAGCACAGCCCCTGGCTCCAAGCCCACAGCAGACAGCCCACAGTAGGCAGCCTGCCCTCACCTTCCACACAAACCTGGGAGGGTACATGCACCTCATGCCTCCCCCAGGGATGCGCACAGCAGTAGGGAGCCACCCCCTCCCCACCCGGATAAGGTGCCTGCAGCTCCACCCCATTCCCAGGGTCACATTCACTGCCCTGGCTGGGCAGCACCTGCCCCTGCCCCACACCCTCCCTCACCATGGGGGACTTGATCTGCCCCCACACGCTCCTTCCCTCCCCTACAGACTTACTGGCCAGATGCTGCTCTCCAAAGCTGCTGTGCTGCATGCCTATAAGTAGGCCATTGGATCGGTATCAGCCAATATGGCTGGTTAACAATTGGCCAAAGAAATCTTTATTATTGCACCCCTAGGGATTAGAGATCTTCTTTCTTCTCCTTGCTGCTCCTTCTGTTTATGTAGAGTGCAAATGGCTTTTTCAGCTGCGGAAGTCTCTTGCTACACACATCTATTACAATGCCTAGCATAACATGGCTCTGATTGTATGCTGTGGTCCTCATAACAGTTGATGATTATTAGCAGCAACATGCATCTGGTGACAAGTTGCACCTACACAGCTGTTGATCTTATAGGGACGATCTTTTGAAAGCAGACTCTGGAAAATGTTCTTGGGAAAAATGTTGCCACTAAGACACTATTGCTCTTACCAGGTGTCACTGCAAACAAGCATTGACTGTATCACTGTAATGCCTGTTGGCTTAGAAAATGATATTTAAAGGTTTGCTTTTCAGGAATTGGCTTATAGGTATAGATATATACATTATAAGGGTTCAAGATGGGCAGCAGGGGTTAATTGATTTCTAAAGAGCTTGGGTCTCGCACACAAAGTGTCTCTCAGCCCAGGAGGCAGACAGGCTGTCTAACACAAGGCCAAGGGATACACACATAGTCTAGAAAAACACAATCTGGGAACTGGGAGCATATACCATACTGTCCCATAATATGAGATAAAGTGATACCAGCACAGCAACAAGGCCCCAGAGCAGGGGGGCCCCCAAGTCCCAGTTTTGGGCGAACAGACCAAATTAGGTGAAGGCCCAGAAGGCTACGTGGATGGACGTGTGACCACAGAGAGACAACCAACCAAAGATAGCCATGGAGGGAAGGAGAATACAAAAGCAGAGACTTGAAAGTAGCAAAAGGTTTCCTCTTTCCATCCTCCCCCCTGAGAGGGTCCCCATCCCCGGGAAGGGTACCCAGGGCCACCATGGACAGAGGGCATACCACTTGCCTGCCTTATACACCCCACTGGGGGGAGGGGGGGGGGGGGTCCTCAGCATCCCACCTCCAAATTGCTGAAATCTGACACTTAAGAAAGAGCCTCAGAGTCCTGGCCAGATGTACTTTAATTCTGATGACAGCCCTAGGATTTGGTAGATATATACAATTGCTTAATTGTTTTATTGTTTCTTTTCATAGATTCATAGATTCATAGATTAAGGGTTGGAAGGGACCTAGTAGATCTTCTAGCCCGACCCCCCGCCAGGGCGGGAGAACAACAAAAAACCCCCAAAAGCGACGGGACTCTGTTATCACCAGGGATCCTGTTTTTCTCCGATTTAAAAAAATCCCCAATTTTTGCTTAAAAAAAATAAGTAGCCCCAAATACATATTTTTCCACAATTAAAATGAAACACCACTATACAGGTTTCCCTCAATTTATGCGGGCTCTTTATATATGAATTCGCTTTTATGCGATGAGCATATTTAGACCCATAATCCGTTATATGCAATCAGCATAGATGCCCCCCTCCCAAGCAGGTAAGTCTGTGGGGAGAGGGGAAAGGGCCATGGCCCCACTCACCCCAGCCTTGGCTACAGCAGCCCCAGGAGCAGCTGACACCAGCTGCCTGCACCAGGGCACGGTGCAGCCCAGGAGCAGAGAGGAGCGAGGACAGGCGGAGCACAGTGCAGCCCACTGGCTGCAGGCAGCTGATGCTGGCCGCTCCCGGGGCCACTGCAGCCAGGACTGGGGTGAAGGCTGCTCTGTTCCCTCTGCTTTTCTGCCTTGTGCACCCCTCCCACCGTCCCTTCCCTAGTCCCAGCTTCATTCCCTCCCTCCAGCACTGCCCTGGGAACGTATCCCTATTTGTTACATTGTAAAGTAGGTTTGCTTTATGTAAATTCGATTTAGGCACCGTTCTCCGGGAGCGCATGTACAGCATAAATTGAGGGAAACCTGTATATAGATCTACATAGTAGTGGTATGTCGTTTAAATCACGGAACAATGTGGATTTGGGGTGACTTTTTTTCTTCCCCTCAAACTAAAAATTTTTATATCAGAGAAAACCAGGATCGCTGGTATCACTGTGTATCAATAAATTTGCCTATTATCAAATAGAGAGGTCTTGGTCAGTCTGAGGGCGGGAACAAGGGTGGGTCCATCCCCTACCCCCAGAACAAGGCTCTGGGTCCTAAATCCAGAGCCAATAATGCCTACCAATGTTTTCAGACCGTTTCCATGAAACATTAAGATATGGCTGGAGAACAAGTTCTCAACAATCATTTAGAGCATAGCTGATAGCTTTAAAAGTTTTATATGGACTAACTAGACAGTCCCCAACCTAGCAGTGCCCCTTTACGTCACTGTTGATAGGCAAGGTCAGAGCTCAGCTGTTAGCATCAACAGATAACCTTCTGCCTGGGAATGGGAAGTCTCCTTTTCACAGGCCCATTAGATAAAAGGCAACTTTATCAGAGAGTTCAAGGACATTCTAGTTATCTCGTGGGCACACACCCCACAGTGACACTTACCAGGTTCTCCTCGTCTCCCAGTCTTTCCCCGCCGTCCTGGAGGACCTATGGAAACGAGAGAGCAAAGGGCTTTTTATTTCATGGAAATCATTGTCAGAGGAAAATGAACCTCACAGAGAACGGGCCCAAGAGAGAACAAGCAAGAAGCCATTCCTTCCGAATCCAGAGCTTTGTCATATCCCCTTCAGAATGAGCTGAAAAGCAGTAGGGGACCAAGACACTTTTTAGTGGATTTGATATCACAAACACCCTCTTTTGCAAACAATATTAGCTTTTTCTGATATAGTACTCTGCTACAGCACATTAAGAGAATGCTCTCCTTATCCCATGTCATTTTAATGGGAGTTGTCATCACCATCCTGTAAATTATGCACCATGAGGAAAACTCAGATTTTTTTCCCCCTTTAGAAAGCAGCAAGGGGTCCAAATGCCACAGATCTGAGCAGTGAAGCAGAGATCTGGAAAGGACCTCAGGACATCATCTAGTCCAAGCCACTGCTCACACCAGAATCAATCTAAGCCAGGGGTGGGTAAAGTCAGGCCCACAGCAGACTACATTTCCCAGCAGCCCCCACCCACGCCGCTCCAGCTCATCTCCAGGGCCAGGATCTTGCAGTGGTGATGGCACAGGCCAGAGCCAGGGCACAGTTGCAATCCGCTGCCCACATACCCCTACTACAGAACCCAAGCTTGGCGAAGGGGTGTATGGGAAACCCCAGCTCCTGCCCATGCTGTCACCACCACAAGATCCTGGCCCAGCTAGGTCCTGGAGCAGCTTCCCACCTAGCCACGTGTCCTGCCAGTGCTGCTCCAGGCTGGTCTCCATGAGACCCTGGGAGCATGTGGCCATGATGGGTCCACGCTGCCACAGCCTGGCTGCTCCCGGCATCTCCATGGAGACCAGCCATAGTGGCACGGGCAGGGACCACTAGGAAATGGAGTTCAGCCACTGACCGGATCTGCCATTTTGCCCATCCATCTCAGAGAAGTGTTGGTCTAACTAGCATGGAAAGGCATCCAATGACAGAAGACTCCAAAACTGTTGAGGAATCCCATCACCTAAAGGAGGATGGGGCATTCGGGAGTAGTGCTGGAGCCTTTGAAATACAACAGCCTCTCTTCTGTGCACACCAAAACTGGAATTGTTTCAATTCACCTGAATGCAATGCAGATGGCTTCAGAAGCTGGGGTGGGATCTTCTTCTGCTCAGGAGCTCAACAGGACTCTCAGATGTCCAAAACTTACAGTTTTGACAGTGTATCAGATGGGAAAATGGATGTTCTCTTACTGTTCACTACCAACTAATCACAAGACATGTCCTTAAGTACACTAAGACACCATAGGCCAGATCCTATCCCTCTATTAGGCAAGTAGGTGGATTTAGGAGCTTAAATGAGATCCTAATCCACTCTGCTTCCATCTCTTAAAAATAGCTAATGAAAAAAAATGGATAGATTCCCCTGCTCCTCGATGCATTTTTGTGACTTAGTCTTACAGCTAAGATAAGGTAGAAGCTAGAAGCATTAGCATTTTTTCAGGGACCTCATCAGGATGGAGTAGGATCACACAAGCACCAAATAGACAGCATAGGATCTGGCCTCCACACATTTTCCTCTGCAATTAAACACTCATGTTTTACCATGACCAATCTTGGCAAATAAACCATCACCCCTCTTATTCTCCCATCTGGGTAAAGATGACTGAACGATTGAGTAACAGAAGAAAATGTAAACAACATGTTCCTAACCATGAATATGCTGAAGAAATTAAAGGATATGTTCACAGGGCACTGAATACAGGCAATAAGTTGTTGGATAATACTCTACAAAAAGAACACTTAAAATGCAAAAGTACAAAGTGCTGCAGCATTTCATACTTTTGCATTTTAAACTAATATTTTGCAATATACTGATAAAGCACCTATTAATTCAGAGCTGACACTTCCCATGCTCATTGCAACATGCGTATTGCAAGATCAAGATGTGGCCAAAAGAAAAACACATGTCTAAGGATGGTGGTCTACCCTTCGCATGTCAGTCGGTTCTGGAGGTGTTGTCACTGAAGGACAGTGATAATGATGAAAAACAAAAGCAAGCTGTGCTCTTGCTTTTTTTTTTATCTAGGAAAATCTGCCATTATTCGATCACGAGCTCTCCTGCCCCTCCTTACTGTTGCTCCATCTTTTGATGGGGAGAGAGGAAGAAGATAAATATACAAGGAACAAAGTCATTAAATATTCCTGTCCCCTTAGAAAGGATTCACAATTCGCACCAATGTTGTTGTTTCTTACTGTGGAACCAGGTTTCTAGCCAAGGGCTGGAGCTTCCCTTTGCAGGGCTATAATACACGTTTAGGCACAGCCTGATCTCCATTGGCTCACCTCTACTGGGTATCCTACAGGCAGATCAAAATGACAGATATTCTTTTCAGTATGTACTGCTAGGAAATCCAGTTCCCATCCACAAAGGGGTCTTTAGTAGTCTATGTACTATTCCTACAAGCTGCAAATCTTTTGCATCTCATTCTAGAGCTTCACCAGCAAAAACCCAGTGAGTAGAACGTTTTGGGGTTATTTGTTGTAGCCATATTGGTCTAAGGACATAGGCAGACATGATTCTTTGGGTAAATGTAATCTCTTTTATTAGGCCAACTAAATAATTGGAAAAATTGTCCTTAACAAGCTTTGGGGCACAAACACCCTTCTTCAGGTATAGTGTTTGTATGCTCTTCTGGGTGGAGAATATCACATTAGGTACAATGTCAAAGTCTTATTGCTGCATCCTCAGAAGATGCAAAACTTCCAAATACTGCCTGATTTACATCTACATGATCACAAATCTTGGGGGAAGATACTAGCCAGTGCCAGTATCTTAAATGGGGGGTAGGGTACTGGGGTACTAGCACCCGGTGCTATCTTGGTGGTGGCAGTGGTGATGATAGGGAAAGCACAAAAAGAACCATGACCACAGAGCTGCCCAGCCAGGCCTCTGGACAGGGCAAATGTCCATCCCATTTGAAAGCATTTGTCTTTGAGTAATCCAAGAGGAACTTTCCTTGGTCAACCACAAACTAAGGGGGAAAAAAAAAAAAATCACTTGATTTGGGACTGCTCAGTTTGCCCTCAACTTATCTCAGGTTTTCAGAAAGGTTTCAGAAACCATAGGCCAAGTTTAAAGTGAATGTGGGAAGAAGTCTAGCCTTTATTTCCAAACCACAGATAGACCATCAGTTCTACATGGTTTCAACCTATGACTGACACTTAGCTGAGCTTTGCTTTGGAGTCTCTGGGTCCATTTAAGTCAAAAGCCAAGAGAGTTCACAAAAGATTTTTTTTTACCCAAACTGCTCAGTTTTCAGCTGGTGCCCCAGCTAGGTAATGCAACTGGGATACCTGATGGAGATTAGCTGAGGCTTGCTAAATCTGACTGCTGCCCACAAACCATTGATCTTTCCCCCAGGGATCAAGCAGCTAAATTGGCCTTCATGTTGGACAGCACACACCAGACACTTGGCTTATGCAGCAAAATTCTCCTTCTTTCTAAGTAAAGCCATATGAAAGCATCTGCTTTTCTTCAGGTGGTTGAACCAATCAATTGGTTCAAGTGACTTTCCTAGAGAACTCATTTTTGCTTAAAAGCACAGATTGATGAGGAGAAATCTGAAGAATGGGCAAAAAGGGGGTGGGAAGGGCTGAGGGAATACAAGCATTTAATTAGCTCAAGCTCAAAGAAATGAACAGAAAG